AGAAAATATATTAATTCAGGAAAACTTGGCTTATTAGGCAAATCGGGCCTTGCATAGTAGGCTGAGAAGTGCGTTCTGGCTACTAGGTACGACATATATATATATATATATATATATATATATATATATATATATATATATATATATATATATATATATATATATATATATATATATATTCATGTGCGTAAATTATATTCATATATTCTAAGCTTTTTATCACATTTCTGAATATTGTCAGCCAGCCAAAGTCGTTCTGTTTTTTGCGTGTAAAAAAAGCATTTTAACTAGACAAACGGAAGCTTTAAATGCAATTTAAATTCATCTCAAATGAGAAACTTTTTCCAGAGAGTGCTGCCTCGCGGCCAGCAAACAAACAAACGCAATCAAAACGTTATTTTTCGACGTTGGCGCCAACAAATAACGTTTGTGTTCTGTGTTAGGGTTTTAAGGGCTATAGGCGGATAGAAGTTAGCCCAAGCGGCTCTGTCCTGTCCCGGGATGGGGGGTATGTTGTCTCAGTAAACTTGCTTGCACTTGACTCGAAGTTGCTGGTTAAGGGGGAAGTATCTCCTTGAAGCGTCTTCCCAAGGGGCAGAGTTGGAACCTTGTCACGCGAGGTTCCAAGATCCTCTAGTCCTTTCACAGCCTTTTCAGATACTGAGAGGGGGCACAAGACCCCCTTCAGGTACTGAGAGGGGGGCACAAGACCCCCTTCAGGTACTGAGAGGGGGGCACAAGACCCCCTTCAGGTACTGAGAGGGGGCACAAGACCCCCTTCAGGTACTGAGAGGGGGGCACAAGACCCCCCTTCAGGTACTGAGAGGGGGAACAAGACCCCTTCAGGTACTGAGAGGGGGCACAAGACCCCCTTCAGGTACTAAGAGGGGGCACAAGACCCCCTTCAGGTACTGAGAGGGGGGCACAAGACCCCTTCAGGTACTGAGAGGGGGCACAAGACCCCCTTCAGGTACTGAGAGAGGGCACAAGAACCCCTTCAGGTACTAAGAGGGGGCACAAGACTCCCATCAGGTAATGAGAGAGGGCACAAGACCCCCTTCAGGTACTGAGAGGGGGCACAAGACCCCCTTCAGGTACTGAGAGGGGGGAACAAGACCCCTTCAGGTACTGAGAGGGGGGCACAAGACCCCCATCAGGTAATGAGAGAGGGCACAAGACCCCCTTCAGGTACTAAGAGGGGGCACAAGACCCCCTTCAGATACCGAGAGGGGGCACAAGACCCCCTTCAGGTACTGAGAGGGGGCACAAGACCCCCCTTCAGGTACTGAGAGGGGGGCACAAGACCCCCTTCAGGTACTAAGAGGGGGCACAAGACCCCCTTCAGATACCGAGAGGGGGCACAAGACCCCCTTCAGGTACTGAGAGGGGGCACAAGACCCCCCTTCAGGTACTGAGAGGGGGAACAAGACCCCTTCAGGTACTGAGAGGGGGCACAAGACCCCCTTCAGGTACTAAGAGGGGGCACAAGACCCCCATCAGGTAATGAGAGAGGGCACAAGACCCCCTTCAGATACCGAGAGGGGCACAAGACCCCCTTCAGGTACTGAGAGGGGGCACAAGACCCCCCTTTCACAGACAGAACCCCCCTCTGTCTGCGCCTCATCAAGTGAACCCAATCCGTATATCAGCTCTTGAAAGATCCTCACGATATGTCACATGTAAATATATATTTTCTCCCTCGGTCCCTTTCATTAATATGTAAAGAAGGGGGGGGGGATTAATTGCCTAGATGAAGCTTGATTTGATAAGTTGCATCAAAGCTTACCGAGAGGATTGACTGGGTTCGCAGCCACAGTCCCTCTTCCTCACTCAATATGTTGCAATTTTTTTTTGAGGAAATTGAGCAATTCGTCAGAAAATGGGACGTGTTGGTTAGCAATGAAAGCACCGTATTATTGACGTATTTGCGGTGTGCTAGGTTAGGTTAGGTTGGCTTTTCTCTTCCCCCTATCTCTTCCTTTCTTCTCTTCTCTCCCTTCCCTTCCATTGCAGGTGTGTCCGGGTAGGCAGCTGTTAATGAGGAAACTGTGTGTTATTGCAGGTGTGTTTTGTAGGTGGGGGCTAATGTGTAGAGGGGATAGTGGCACCTGTGTCTTTATGGGTAGAGGGGGCAGCTGTTCTGAATGGGTGGAGGGTGTGGGTGAGTGGCAGGTGTGTTGTGTTGATGGAGGGGGTGTGTGGGGGGGGGATGGAAAGGGGTGATTTAAGTACTTTTCAAGATAATATTTCCCCCGAGCTTGGCACCAAATAGGAGCCCGTGGCACTAGCTGCCCTTCGACTAGTTTGATATAAGAGTCGAGGTCAGTTATAGGTATTTTGTTTTCCGATTATTGATACTTGTAGTTATAATTTGTGTAATTTAGTGTAGCGGATATAATCAAATGGCGAGCTGTTGTGATAGGTGTAATCCCAGCTATGTGATCTTTTTCGTTATTCACAAGATTACTAGTAAATCTGAACAGTGGTACACATACTTCTTATACATGAATACTACCAGATCGACTGTGTATACACACTTAGAGATGTATATACCTAGAGGTGTATATTTAAATTATACTTGCTGGTTGGTCAGTAAGGTATTGTGGTGGTCTTAATAACCCTCCAGAGGTTGATAGGCCTTAAGGCCAACACCAACATCTTCTACTCCCCAAGGGCCGGGCTTGGGGGGAGTAGAAGAACTCCCAGAACCCCATGAACCAGGTATCAAGCAACAGCCTGTTGGACCAAACTCTCACAAGTCAAGCCTGGCCTCGGGCCGGGCTTGAGAAGTAGAAGAACTCCCAGAACCCCATCAAGCAGGTATTGTGGTCCTGGTTACAACCTCCTCCCTCCCCCCCTTTCCCTCCCGCCCCATTCCCCCTCCCCCCCCCTTCCCTCCCGCCCCATTCCCCCTCCCCCCTCCTCAGGACCTCCTCGTAAAACACTGTCATGCCCCCGAGGAGTGAAAGAGGCGCTGAGTAGCAATACGTCGTTTAGTGGCCGTAGACAGACATTTCACTGCCACTCAAAGAGGGCTCTTGGAGGGAAAGGTTGCTTTAGGAGGAACGGAAATGGGTAGGGGGAAGGGTGGAAGTAGAGAGGGAAAGGATTATTCATTTCTTTATTATGAACCCTATACCCATCCCGTGGGCGGTGGTGGGGAGGGTTACAGAGGCATATAGTGGGTTCAGGAACTGTACCCCAGAGTTCGTTTAGCTAAGCAAGTGAAGCTGGTTACACAATTGTTAATGTTAAATTTACATGTACATATTTATATATATATATATATAAACAATCATTTACACAAATACATATACACATCGATAATCTTTTGTGTCACAAGTGATTCAACAAGAGGCTCACAACAGTCACTATACAAGGCACTTTACATCTACGGTGAGTCACACAGTTACTAGTTTTGCTCCACACCCACCCAACTTGGCGGCAGCTTTACAGTCATGTGCTCCACACCCACCCAACTGGGCGGCAGCTTTACAGTCATGTGCTCCACACCCACCCAACTTGGGGCAGCTTTACAGTCATGTGCTCCACACCCACCCAACTGGGCGGCAGCTTTACAGTCATGTGCTCCACACCCACCCAACTTGGGGCAGCTTTACAGTCATGTGCTCCACACCCACCCAACTGGGCGGCAGCTTTACAGTCATGTGCTCCACACCCACCCAACTTGGCGGCAGCTTTACAGTCATGTGCTCCACACCCACCCAAATGGGCGGCAGCTTTACAGTCATGTGCTCCACACCCACCCAACTTGGGGCAGCTTTACAGTCATGTGCTCCACACCCACCCAACTGGGCGGCAGCTTTACAGTCATGTGCTCCACACCCACCCAACTTGGGGCAGCTTTACAGTCATGTGCTCCACACCCACCCAACTGGGCGGCAGCTTTACAGTCATGTGCTCCACACCCACCCAACTTGGCGGCAGCTTTACAGTCATGTGCTCCACACCCACCCAAATGGGCGGCAGCTTTACAGTCATGTGCTCCACACCCACCCAACTTGGGGCAGCTTTACAGTCATGTGCTCCACACCCACCCAACTGGGCGGCAGCTTTACAGTCATGTGCTCCACACCCACCCAACTGGGCGGCAGCTTTACAGTCATGTGCTCCACACCCACCCAACTTGGCGGCAGCTTTACAGTCATGTGCTCCACACCCACCCAACTGGGCGGCAGCTTTACAGTCATGTGCTCCACACCCACCCAACTGGGCGGCAGCTTTACAGTCATGTGCATGCATTACCTACACTAAGCAAACTCTGGCTACTTCACCAAGATTCCTGGCAGTACATCATTATGAATGAAGTACTTACACATTTCTTGGACACCATTGATGGTGTTATCTCTGAATTCCGCGATTTTTTCACATTCCATTATATAATGACGCAAAGTATGCGAATAGTTCTGCTGACAGAGTTTACATTTACTCAAATCTACATCAGCAGATGTTACAAATTCCCAGAGGTACTTGTAGCCGAGCCTAAGCCTAGCAGTGGTAACATCTAGAAGTCAGCTAACATTATTGGATGACCCATAGACGTGCGGTTCTTCCTGTATAATAGAATGATGATAGATGGAGCAACTGGTGTGAATTTCACTTTGCCTCAAGTCTACGAGATTTTGTTGATGTTCCCGGAATATTACTGCCCTCAGGCTGCTCAAAGGCAGTCCAAGATGGTAATCAATTCCCTCTTTATGAGCAAAGGTCTTGGCTAACTCATAACTCCTATGCATGGGCATGCCTAGGAAGTGCCCATACCCATAGGGCATGGGCACGCAAAGTGCCACAATTAAGAGAAGTGGGCATACATGTAATAGCAGGATGCTTGGGATTTAAGGCGCTATGATAATAATCATTCAATCCGTTTCACGTGTATCATTGGCGACCAGCCACATGATCCTCTCAGCTGTGATGGTTGGACATGAGTGATTGTCTGCCTCGCCCTCGTGCAAATGTGATAGCTTTACCGCCATTATTTATGCTAATGGTTTGTGTTTGCATTCGGCCGGCTGATTGCTTGTCCGTGTTCCCGTTTTCTGTATTGCCCGTGTTCCCGTTTTCCCGTTTTCTGTATTGGTCTTGTTTTCTGTATTGGCCTTGTTCCCGTTTTCTGTATTGTTCTTGTTCCCGTTTTCTGTATTCTTGTTCCCGTTTTCTGTATTATTCTTGTTCCCGTTTTCTGTATTGGCCTTGTTCCCGTTTTCTTTATTGCCTTTGTTCTCGTTTTCTGTATTGGCCTTGTTCCCGTTTTCTGAATTGGCCTTGTTCCCGTTTTCTGTATAGGCCAGGTTCCCGTTTTCTGTATTGGCCTTGTTCCCGTTTTCTGTATAGCTTGTGTTTCCGTTTTCTATTAACGTGTTCCCACTTTCTGTTTGGCATACGTATGTATAATTTCTATTGACGGCCCTAAACGTAATTTCAGTTTCCAGGGATTCGAAGCCTGTAATAAGATTGTCCAATCTCTAAATATTGTCTGCTGTTGTTCTTCAGTTCTCGAGAGGTCTGGTGTTCTTGTTCATGTTATGAGAAATGTTCAGTAGCATTTCATATGATCTGATTCACTTATTAAGAAGAGCTGAAGCGCATTTAAACAAAGTCGGAGGCAATATTAACATTTTTATTAAAATCTAATTGGCTAGAAATTGTAATAATTGTAAATAAATGAGTTATAATTACATAAGAAATTCAGAGGTCGTATAAATGTTATGTAGCAATGTATCAAAGAAAACGTGGGGTTGGGGGGGGGGGGGGTTGAAGGGGGTACTACTTCACAAGATGAAAACGAGAACTTCCCATTTTTTATAATGATGCTTATGGAAGAAAATGGGTGTGTTGACATAATGAAGAATTAACCGATGTCGGTTACCCAATAGGATTAATGGCGGGAGCGGGGGGAGGGGGGGGGGGGTGTACAAGGTCTTCTATCCTTTCCATTCTTCCTGAAATGTTTTAAGCTCAAGTGCTTGTTACAAGTTGTAAGTGGTAAGCTGTCTTGGCACTTATTAGGGGAGGGAGATAAAGCGGGTTTATTCCTCTTTGGGGTAAAAAAATGTATCCTATATTGTGTGAGTAAGTTTGGAACTGATAAATCTTATGTTAATATACTTTTATCACTTAATACAATTGAGTGCTGTTATGTGTATATACAAAATACGGATGTATGTGCGCATGCACGTACACATTCGAAACACACACACACACACACACACACACACACACACACACACACACACACACACACACACACACACACACACACACACACACATCTGCACACAATCACACACATATTTACATACATATTTTTTATCTATTTAGGAATATTTTCAATCACTTACGTCTAAAATATATATTCTTATTTTTACAGGTAAGTTGATAATAGCAGATCTCTCCACTAACTGTGAGTACACTGTGAGTACATTGTGAGTACATTGTGAGTACATTGTGAGTACACTGTGAGTACATTGTGAGTACATTGTTAGTACACTGTGAGAACATTGTGAGTACACGGTGAGTACATTGTGAGTACATTGTGAGTACACTATGAGTACACTGTGAGTACACTGTGAGTACACTGTGAGTACATTGTGAGTACATTGTGAGTACACTATGAGTACACTGTGAGTACACTGTGAGTACACTGTGAGTACATTGTGAGTACATTGTGAGTACATTGTGAGTACACGGTGAGTACATTGTGAGTATATTGTGAGTACACTATGAGTACACTGAGTACACTGTGAGTACACTGTGAGTACATTGTGAGTACATTGTTAGTACACTGTGAGAACATTGTGAGTACACGGTGAGTACATTGTGAGTACATTGTGAGTACACTATGAGTACACTGTGAGTACACTGTGAGTACACTGTGAGAACACTGTGAGAACACTGTGAGTACACTGTGAGAACACTGAGTACACTGTGAGTACACTATGAGTACAATGTGAGTACACTGTGAGAACACTGTGAGTACACTGTTAGTACACTGAGAGTACACTGTGAGTACACGGTGAGTACACGGTGAGTACACGGTGAGTACACTGTTAGTACACTGTGAGTACACTGTGAGTACACTGTGAGTACACTGTGAGAACACTGTGAGTACACTGTGAGAACACTGTGAGAACACTGTGAGTACACTGTGAGAACACTGTGAGTACACTGTGAGAACACTGTGAGTACACTGTGAGTACACTGTGAGTACATTGTGAGTACATTGTGAGTACACTGTGAGAACACTGTGAGTACATTGTGAGAACACTGTGAGTACACTGTGAGAACACTGTGAGTACACTGTGAGAACACTGAGTACACTGTGAGTACACTGTGAGTACACTGTGAGAACACTGTGAGAACACTGTGAGTACACTGTGAGAACACTGTGAGTACACTGTGAGTACAATGTGAGTACAATGTGAGTACACTGTGAGAACACTGTGAGAACACTGTGAGTACACTGTTAGTACACTGTGAGTACACGGTGAGTACACGGTGAGTACACTGTTAGTACACTGTGAGAAAACTGTGAGTACACTGTGAGTACACTATGAGTACAGTGTGAGTACACTGTGAGAACACTGTGAGTACACTGTGAGAACACTGTGAGTGCACTGTGAGTGCACTGTGAGTACACTGTGAGTACACTGTGAGTACACGGTGAGTACACGGTGAGTACACTGAGAGAAGACTGTGAGTACACTGTGAGTACACTGTGAGTGCACTGTGAGTACACTGAGTACACTGTGAGTACACTGAGTACACGGTGAGTACACTGTGAGTACACTGTGAGTACATTGTGAGTACACTATGAGTACACTGTGAGTACACTATGAGTACACTGTGAGTACACTGTTAGTACATTGTAAGTACACTGTGAGTACACTGTGAGTACACTGTGAGTACACTGTGAGTACACTGTGAGTACATTGTGAGTACACTGTGAGTACACTGTGAGTACACGGTGAGTACACTGTGAGTACATTGTGAGTACACTATGAGTACACTGTGAGTACACTGTGAGTACATTGTGAGTACACTGTTAGTACATTGTGAGTACACTATGAGTACACTGTGAGTACACTGTTAGTACACTGTGAGTACACTGAGTACACTGTGAGTACACTGTGAGTACACTGTGAGTACATTGTGAGTACACTGTGAGTACACGGTGAGTACATTGTGAGTACACTGTGAGTACACTGTGAGTACATTGTGGGTACATTGTGAGTACACTGTGAGTACACTGTGAGTACATTGTGAGTACACGATGAGTACACTGTGAGTACATTGTGAGTACACTGTGAGTACACTGAGTACACTGTAAGTACACGATGAGTACACGATGAGTACACTGTGAGTACACTGTGAGTACACTGTGAGTACACTGTGAGTACACTGAGTACACTGTGAGTACACTGTGAGTACACTGTGAGTACATTGTGAGTACACTGTGAGTACACGGTGAGTACATTGTGAGTACACTGTGAGTACACTGTGAGTACACTGTGAGTACATTGTGAGTACATTGTGAGTAAACTGTGAGAACACTGTGAGTACACTGTGAGTACACTGTGAGTACACGATGAGTACACGATGAGTACACGATGAGTACACTGTGAGTACATTGTGAGTACATTGTGAGTACACTGTGAGTACACTGTGAGTACATTGTGAGTACATTGTGAGTAAACTGTGAGAACACTGTGAGTACACTGAGTACACTGTGAGTACACTGTGAGTACACTGTGAGAACACTGAGTACACTGTGAGTACACTGAGTACACTGTGAGTACACTGTGAGTACACTGTGAGAACACTGTGAGTACACTGTGAGTACACTGTGAGTACACTGTGAGAACACTGTGAGTACACTGTGAGTACACTGTGAGTACACTGTGAGTACACTGTGAGTACACTGTGAGTACACTGTGAGAACACTGTGAGTACACTGTGAGTACACTGTGAGTACACTGTACTCATAGAATAATATATTGGATAAATAAAACTAATTACAATAAACATCATAAATAAACACTCATGAGGTAAATGGGATCAAGAGTCCTCGATCTATTACCTTAAAACACTGCTAAGGTTAATACATCTGTTAATACAACAGTTCACAGTGTTAGCCTCAATTAACAATGTATTAAAAATGTAGTAACACATTAACATTATCTCAAGGTAATTATCTCAAGGTAATTATCTCAAGGTAATTATCTCAAGGTAATTATCTCAAGGAAATCATCTCAAGGTAGTTGTTCCACTCAGTGATACCTGGTTGATGGGGTTCTGGGAGTTCTTCTACTCCCCCCAAGCCCGGCCTGAGGCCAGGCTCGACTTGTGAGAGTTTGGTCCACCAGGCTGTTGCTTGGAGCGGCCCGCAGGCCCACATACCCACCACAGCCCGGTTGGTCCGGCACTTCTGGTGTTTACTGAGTTGTGACTAGAAGGCAGGTGTCTGAGGCAGGTATAGTAAGGTTTGGGAGATCTCTGTAGGGGTGGCAGATGTGTAGATGTGGCAGGTGTGGAGTCTGAAATGTGTGAGAGGGATGTGTTGAGACGGCAGAGAGCCGTCAGAACGATGTGCTAATACAACACTCACACCTTTAACACCGACCTTTAGCTACTCAAAGGTCAGCACGCAGGCTGTAGGAGGGAGCATGGGAAGGGAGAGGGAGAGAGAGAGAGAGAGAGAGAGAGAGAGAGAGAGAGAGAGAGAGAGAGAGAGAGAGAGAGAGAGAGAGAGAGGGAGGGGGAGGGAGAGAGATGGCAGAAAGACGCACATTCATCTGTGACTTAAAACCCGCTACACTTACACACACGACACACACACACACACACACACACACACACACACACACACGACACACACACACACACACACACACACACACACACACACACACACACACACACACACACACACACACACACACACACACACACACACACACACACGACACACACACACACGACACACGCACACACACACACACACACACACACACACACACACACACACACACACACACACACACACACACACACACACGACACACACGACACACACGACACACACGACACACACACACACACACACACACACACACACACACCTGGGGGGTCATAAGGGAGCTAAACAACTAGGCAGTGGGAAGCCGGACATAACATGATAACCGGACAGAACTCAGACACTGTCACCCCGGACATAATGCCGTCTAATGACCGCCACTGCCTAGACACCCGCACAGAAAGAGGCCCCAATAGACGCAAGTGACCAACTGCCAAAAACAAATGACTATCAAGAAACTAAAAACTTAATCCCCCTTCCCCCCCCCCCCCCAAATAACTCCCTCCCCCACCCCCTCCCCCCACCTCTCCCCCTCACCCCTCTCCCCCCTCCTCCCCCCCACCCCTCCCCTCTCCCCCACCTCCCCCCCACCCCTCTCCCCCCCCCTAGACTCCAATATATACACAAAAACTGTTTGGAAGGCATTGAAAAGGAGTGGACAGGATATCACACAGCAGCACAGTGGACAGGATATCACACAGCAGCACAGTGGACAGGATATCACACAGCAGCACAGTGGACAGGATATCACATCAACACAGTACACAGGATATCACATCAACACAGTACACAGGATATCACATCAACACAGTACACAGGATATCACATCAACACAGTACACAGGATATCACATCAACACAGTACACAGGATATCACATCAACACAGTACACAGGATATCACATCAACACAGTACACAGGATATCACATCGACACAGTACACAGATATCACATCAACACAGTACACAGGATATCACATCAACACAGTACACATGATATCACAGCAACACAGTACACAGGATATCACATCAACACAGTACACAGGATATCACATCAACAGAGTACACAGGATATCACATCAACACAGTACACAGGATATAACAGCAACACAGTACACAGGATATCACATCAACACAGTACACAGGATATCACATCAACACAGTACACAGGATATCACATCAACACAGTACACAGGATATCACATCAACACAGTACACAGAATATCATGTCAACACAGTACACATGATATCACATCAACACAGTACACATGATATAACATCAACACAGTACACAGGATATCACATCAACACAGTACACAGGATATCACATCAACACAGTACACAGGATATCACATCAACACAGTACACATGATATCACAGCAACACAGTACACAGGATATCACATCAACACAGTACACAGGATATCACATCAACACAGTACACAGGATATCACATCAACACAGTACACAGGATATCACATCAACACAGTACACAGGATATCACAGCAACACAGTACACAGGATATCACATCAACACAGTACACAGGATATCACATCAACACAGTACACAGGATATCACATCAACACAGTACACAGGATATCACATCAACACAGTACACAGGATATCACAGCAACACAGTACACAGGATATCACATCAACACAGTACACAGGATATCACATCAACACAGTACACAGGATATCACATCAACACAGTACACAGAATATCATGTCAACACAGTACACATGATATAACATCAACACAGTACACATGATATCACAGCAACACAGTACACAGGATATCACAGCAACACAGTACACATGATATCACAGCAACACAGTACACATGATATCAGCGTCACAGACTTTAATACCACAGGAAAATGTATGACCTCCCCCCCCCCAAAAAAAAAAAAAGCTTCCCACATACAATCCTCCTACCCTAATCCCCTTACCCCAATCCCCCCTACCCCAATCCCCCCTACCCCAATCCCCCCTACCCCAATCCCCCCTACCCCAATCCCCCCTACCCCAATCCCCCCTACCCCAATCCCCCCTTACCCCAATCCCCCCTACCCCAATCCCCCCTACCCCAATCCCCCCTACCCCAATCCCCCTACCCCAATCCCCCCCCACCCACTAAGACACTCGCAAAACACATATAACAATCTCCTAGAAGTTATAATCACAACAGATGGACAGACAAGCGCAAAAAAAATGCAAAAAAATAAATTCAAAGTGACCTACAAGATCAGGGGGCAGGATTTATGCAGAGCAGAATACACCACAATAAATGGAATGAGCCGGTTAGGTTAGGTTAGGTTAGGTCGCCAGAACTAGACCACAGAACCCCAGGAGGGTTCCAGAAAAAAAAAAAATATAGATCAGGGGCCAGATTCACGAAGCAGTTACGCAAGCACTTACGAGCCTGGGGCCAGATTCAAGAAGCAGTTATGCAAGCACTTACGAACCTGGGGCCAGATTCACGAAGCAGTTACGCAAGCACTTACGAACCTGGGGCCAGATTCAAGAAGCAATAATGCAAGCACTTACGAACCTGGGGCCAGATTCAAGAAGCGATAATGCAAGCACTTAGCACTAGATGCACAATAATGCAAGCACTAGAAAG